TCATGCATCCGGCACAACAGCGGAATCGACGTTGGGAGCACACGTTGCTTCGAATGTCATAAATGCAAATTCCAACAATTTGAGCACCCAAAATTCTCGCACTGACCTGGCTACCACGAAAACAACGACACAATCGACTCACACGATTCTCATCACATATTCCACCGCAGCTACTAAAAGCTTTGTGCAATGTAAGTCACATTTCTTGAGATACATTTCTGTTAACCCATTATGTATAACCTTTGAGTTCGAAACATTGGACCCTATCATCCTTCAAACAATATGCCTCGGGAAGATTTTTCATGATTGGTAAAGAAAAAGAGAGCTAGATATTTATTTTTTTATGTACAGTTGTGGTATACGTTCACCTCAGGCAGAATACTGCTTTTTAAAGTATTCGTTTGCAGACAAGCTGATTTTTGAACGTAACCTGTATTCTCACTCCTCCCTTAAATTGAATAAAAGACATTGAAGCTCGTTCACACTTTAGTTCAGCACATTACTCTTTTTATTTCCCGTAGCACTGTCACAATACCGGTATTATGTTTTCAAATTGATGCATACTCGAAAACTAATAAGCCGTTTTAAGATTTTCAACCCTAGTTATTGCATATGAGGTCTCAACGTGGTTGAGTATCGTACAAGAATCAAGGTAAACTAAATTGGATGTGTCTTGGCGATTTGCATTACACCCAGCATACATTGATAGCCAAACAGTCACTAATTATATAAGAAGGTCATGCTAGGATTTTGCTATTCAGTAAACCACGTTTATGGGATACTCATATAGGGTATTCATATGGGGTACACTTTCATTCACTTGATTTGTGTCAGAACATTCCTAAACGTTTTCGCCCACTAACTCTTTTCCTGCATTCTGTTCTCTTATTTGCCTAGATACGGCGCAGTATCAAGTTGTCACGAAGATAGCTGCCACATGGGATAAAGATCTGGAAAATTCATCCAGTGAAAAGTTCAGAAGCTTAAGCTCGAAACTATGTGATCTGGTTAGTTACTACATCCGGGAGAATTTTTCTGATTTCAGTGGGTAAAAATGTAGTCGGTATTTTTTATCATTTGTACCTTTAAATTAAAAACGTTTACCATCATCGATTATCATTAAATTGAGTTGAAACAATTCTTCTCCTTCAGTGAAGTGTTTTTGTGAGATAAACTATCAAATACTGAGGGCATAATGCATAATATAACTGCAACATTAATAAAAATGAACTGGTTATTGTGGAAGGGATCGGTTGGTAAAATGAAATACGTCTTATGGGCAAAACATCTGATGGCAGTTATTTGATCCAATACGACACAGGAAAACATTACTTTAGCTTTATCTTGGGTGAACAATTACACCGTCGGTGGCTTTGAATGATATCGGGAGTCATCACACAACCTATTTGTCAATATGCCTATTGCGTGAAGAGGCCTGCGTACATGTGTTGCCCGTTTCTTCAAAACTGGAGGCGGTAAAAATTCACAAAGAGTATAATCGCTTGCAGATCAACAAGATGCAACAATATAAATTAGATAAAGTTCTTGAGTGAAATGAGGTTTCAAACAATGAATACAAACCGATTTATTTCCCAATCGATTATAAGATCCGGTTGCCTCTTACTCCGGTTGAATAATCTCTGCTACCGCATCTGATCTGTAGGATTTTGCATCAAGAAGGATACTTTGAGCATCTAGAGTGTCTCTTTACTGCTCACTTCCATCAATTATTTTGGAGGAAGTATTACAGAATAGGCTTTCTCGCTTAAAATTAACGCACCAAGAGGAGTGCGTTTATGTGCTTGCCAGATTGACAAGGACAGTTTTGAAACGTAACATCCGATTCAGTTCATGTACATGAATCTGTTGATAAGGCAGTCGTTACAGAAAATACCGATTGGTGGAAAATACCCATGTGCTGTACATCACGAAGTCCATCTGGGAAAGAACAGTTATTCGTGTATTATTTATTAGCCCAATGACGCCCTTTTTCTAAGTCTCATACCCAACCAAGTCAAGAAAACAGAAAAACCTGCATCAGATCTGCAAATGCATGCATCGGGATGTATAAATGTGAGCTCGAATTGTCGAATAAATCAACTGAGTAAACATTAATTTATACGCGTATATAGTCCCTCATATAAATACTCATACTCAAACATGTTTCTAGCTACTCGTGCGATTATGACTGCTCATGGCGAATCACGGAGCTCCTATTGACTATGTTTGATTCCACCAATCGGTGGAGGGGGTGGAGTGGGGCGGGGCGGGCTGTTAAACCGAATCGCGACCGCATCGGCTGTTGACAGTAGACAATGCTCTATCTGTTTCGATCGCATCCACGTGATCTTATGGATGAGTCTGACCGCCTCACTCATTACGAATCGTTATTCCGTTCCGAACAAATGGGTCGTGATAATTATAAAATGTGACCACACCTCAAGTGCAAACTATTGCAATCGATCAAATCATCAATCAAATATCAACGAAAATGAGCACTGTAGTATTGAAAAACGGTAAGCCAGAGAGGATCGTTATAAATTCAGTTAAGAGAACGACTTGATTGAAAACCTGATGACTGAGAGGCTGTTTCGAGTTGCATAATGTTATCTAAAATGACGGTTACTCACGGGTTTGCACTAAGACCTGAACCTAATTTTCGGTAAATACCAGACAGAGCAAGAATTTTCGTTTGCTGAAGCCCATTGGGGTCCTCGAGCTTGTGTTAACGCGATTTGACGCAAAATACAATCCTCGAGCGTCCATTGTGACTGTATCTTGTTCGGAATGCAAGTGTTCACCACCACTTTATTCTTGGTATGCAGTAACCGAAAACGTGAATGAAAATAACTACCTGAGCTGTAAGTAGCATAATGTTTCACACATTGTTTTTCATGGAAAGTCCAACCATGGAAGGTTAAGCAAGGTTGTCGAAGGTTGAACAGTTCTTTTCAGTGTTCGCTTAGCTCGTATACAGTAAAGGATTTTTGCCAAATGTTCAGTTAAAGGAATATTATTTTTGGCTTAGTTCTAATCTCACCGGAAAAGTTTAATCGGAGGAGCAATAACTCTAACGTTCTGTGTTGTGACCATTCCTATGTTGATAAAAAAAACTCGTCGTGCGTTTAGACGCAAGCATTGAACCAATCACATGTATTTCCTAAGCTGTTCGTTCTCGTGCATAGATTCAATCAGTACAACTAATGAAATTTGCACTTTCAAATGATTTCTGAACGAAATGGAGAGAAAAAGCTGATTTCAAAAACCCTTGGTTCATAATTCTGTCATCATTTATCGATTCATCAGGTACTATCACTACTCCGGCTGGGAAATAACAAGGCTCTTATGGCACCCACGTGTGAAGTAACTTCATTCTTCCAAACAACTGCACGCGGGAAACGTGAAATCAACCGAGATAAACGTCAAGCCAGTACTGGCGTGTCGGGGAACACGAAACTCTCGTTCACGGATGTGAGTGCGGCCAAAACGGATGCGACCGCCCTAGATACGGCGCTGACCACCGGATACACTCAGCTCCCAGCTGACCAGAAATCCCAGTTAGCGGGTGATTTTCAGGTTACCCGTAAGTCATATGTTTACAACTGTTTTAACTTTTTGTTAGATACTTCGCATGATGCATTCGCATTTATAAGTTACTGAGTGAGCCATGGCACAGTTATATTTCAAAAAGTTGGTGGTAAAGTGTGCTTAGCTTGTTTCATTGATTTAACCATGCTGGATAGTTTAGTGGGACAATTGTGTTGAGTGCGGGAAATAGCTCTTCAGAATTCTGAATGTGACTAGCGCAAGTCGACGACATATGGCCTCTATTGGATACTAAGTTGCTCCTGGCAATCCCTAAGCTCCCCAAAAAGTACTGCAGAAAATGAGAAATAAATCAAATTACATTCATTCATAAATTCACTGAAAATATTGTTCGAGTGCAATGTATGGAGGTAGAAATTTCAACCAAACCACAGGAATATACATTATTAAGTCTTCGTATGCACTCGAACATCGAATCGATCATTTTTTTCCGATTTGTTTAAATCTCCGCAGAAATTCACATCATTTGTTATTGTTTCTTATGCTTTTATTAATGAGAATTTACCATAAACTACCGGCACATTTAAACCAAAGGCACCACTATCCCAAAAACACAAACCTTTCAATTATGAATTTCAAGTACTGTTCACTCATAAATTTGGAACATTAAGGATATCCAGAGTATTTTGTGCCTCGGGGCTAGATTCATAGCATATGTGAACACTTTGTGTGAAGAGACAGGTGTGCTACTTTACCTGAGGATTGGATTTAGAACTCAAACGACGGGCACCCGGATATCTCCGTCCATATGGAATCTTTTAATAAAAGCGAATTTCAGTGTACTACCAGAGGAATTACCAGCAATTATCACTGCGTTATGCCAATAAAGTTGACTATGTTTTACATATGACAAATATATACTTGACAAATTCTCAAATTTATCGCGTAGTATAAAGAGTAGTGGTCAAACCATCAGGTGGTATCAATAGTTTTACTTTAGATTACTAGGATCAGTTAGTTAGTTTTTCTTCTTTAGGATCTGAGGTAGCATTTGGGATTTGTAGTTCGAGTTGAGGTTCATCGTTAATTTATAGTTCTGATTCGTAGTTGAATGAAAAATAGCTAGACGTTTATGGTTCAACTGTCCACTACATCGGTAAATGTCATTATGCTGCTCCAAGCTACACCCCACTCTACGGTGATTATCTCTGATGTGTAAGTACGGAGTAAATCCGCAGTCATGAAACTGAGAAAGTGGCCAGAGCCTTTTGAAATATGACTATGTTCGGGCCAGTCGGACACTGATTTACCCGTATAAAAACGTTTCTCTGACGAACGATATTTGCCATCATTGTTCTAGTAGTTTATTGTAGCATACAGTTCTATTAGGTTTTACGGAATTAGCCAACTCCAAACATAATTTGATTGTCGGCACAGCAACTGGCAACTGAGTTGAGTTAGTAATCCACAGAATGGTGCAAGTGGAGGTCATCTGACACCATAGTGACACTGGCCATATGCTTGCGTGACTCTCGATAACGTTGAGAGGGCAATAACTTCCAATTTGTTGACCGCAATTTATTGTCCAACATGCCACTTTGGAAGAGGCTTACTGATAGGGAGAAATACAAAATTGACGCCTTCTGTGCGATCAATGTCAGAACACATGAGATAGCCAAGAACTGTACTAGGTCCAAATCCACTACACCATGATATTTGAAGCGCAACCACCGAAAACTGAATCATGAACGAATTTGAGGCCAGAGAACGCTCTCAAGGAAAGATAAGAGCAGAGTGTTACCTATGACCTCCAACTCAGTGAGCTCTACTTCGGCGATAAAACTGGTGCTTGGATTGAAGTTTTCGATGAAAACGATAGAGTGAACATTTAGACCGGTCCATTGGATGAAAAGGCAGAAAAAGAGAAGACGATTAGCTTTAAGAGCATTCGAAACCTGAAAACGTTTATTTTGCGCCGGAACTTTCGTAACTTAAAAATACGAATGCTATTTCGTCTACATTCATTTCCATGAATACGTTGCGTGGAACTACTACAGTGCTGCAAAGAATAGCAGTGCTTTGGTAAGCGGATTACTGCACGAAATTACATAATGATACGGTTACCTTATGAACAACAGCACAGCGTAAGTCGCTGTACTGTGCAATTTGAATGATTTTGATTTATGTATCCGTACATTAAAGTAACACCTCATGCCAGCAATCGCATTTGATGGGCATTGTGAAGTCATTTGCAGCAAGATAATCTCTTAGTGCATAACTCGTTAATACTTTGTGGCCCCAAAGAATGATGCGGCCTGTGTTCAGCCCAGTCTTGAGCCAAATAGAAACAATTTGAGCTATTCTTACCCGTGAGGCGTGCCAATGCTAAAGGGTTCACTCCACAAAGTACGACTTAGAAGTATCGTTGATTTGGGGTGGATTAATAGTGACACGGACATTATTCCAAATTCTATGACGAGCAGGAAATTAGCTTCAGTGTGAACAATCCACGGGTGTACAATACTTCATCTCGGTGAAAATTCAGTTTTTTTAATATTCACGTTTCAATAAGTGCTGACTAGACGGAATTTCATATATGCATTCGATGACCGGCTAGATTATCAAAAATGGTAATGTTTGGATGTGTGAGACAAATGATAATCCGAAAATCTTGGGAATGCAACATTTTATCGCAGAGTGTATCACCGCATTTGAACCCCCCCCTCCCGACAATAGGTGACCATTCGAAAGTACAGTGATACATAGTTGAAGTCAATAAATCATTTTCATTGGTTACAGGTTCCAAACATGCTCTCGACAATTGTACTTAAATAAATACATTGCACCACGAATTCGATTTCCATTGTTCATCCGTGCCCAAACGGTTCCTTGGCCAATAGAACCCTATTTTGGGTGACGTTTAGTCGTTTCATGTGAATAATATTGCGGCCTTTTAATAATTGTCCGTGCAAAACAACACGCGAATGCTGGGTAACCCAACAAGCTACAAATCATAGGTCTGATTAAATTTGAGAGGCTTATATCAGCTTCATAGAGCCTAATTTCATCTTTACATGGTCTTCTATTTCAAAATTGGCGTTGATAAAAGTCTACTCAATCTTCGTCTCCAAAGACCAGACTTTCGTTATGCGACTATACGGATTCTCGCATCCGGTTGCATTTTGAACAATCGACGGTTTTGTAAGTATGATGCGAACTGCAAGAAGGTTGCTCGAGGATTGTATTTTGCGTCAAATCGCGTTAACACAAGCTCGAGGGCCCCAATGGGCTTCAGCAAACGAAAATTCTTGCTCTGTCTGGTATTTACCGAAAATTAGGTTCAGGTCTTAGTGCAAACCCGTGAGTAACCGTCATTTTAGATAACATTATGCAACTCGAAACAGCCTCTCAGTCATCAGGTTTTCAATCAAGTCGTTCTCTTAACTGAATTTATAACGATCCTCTCTGGCTTACCGTTTTTCAATACTACAGTGCTCATTTTCGTTGATATTTGATTGATGATTTGATCGATTGCAATAGTTTGCACTTGAGGTGTGGTCACATTTTATAATTATCACGACCCATTTGTTCGGAACGGAATAACGATTCGTAATGAGTGAGGCGGTCAGACTCATCCATAAGATCACGTGGATGCGATCGAAACAGATAGAGCATTGTCTACTGTCAACAGCCGATGCGGTCGCGATTCGGTTTAACAGCCCGCCCCGCCCCACTCCACCCCCTCCACCGATTGGTGGAATCAAACATAGTCAATAGGAGCTCCGTGATTCGCCATGAGCAGTCATAATCGCACGAGTAGCTAGAAACATGTTTGAATATGAGAATATTAAGCGTATAAAATGAGAGTTTGTTTATTTTGTTGTCTTTTTTCATTTTACTTCCCTTTTTACTATGCAACGATTCTATTTTCACGAATGAGGATGCTACCAATCAAATGACTGCCATTCAATAAATGCGCTTCGTGTATATTTTCTAGCCTCTAATTTTGTATCTGAATCGATTTTCTTATCAATGTGTTCTCAAATATGACCGTGTTCAGACAGTGGTCGGCAGAACTCCACCTTGCTAGTTTTTTGATAATATATAAAGCCAACTACGTTATCAGATCATTACATTAGTTGTAGTCTTACTTTATCAAATTTTGTTATGACAGTCGTTATTGTTGTATCACGTTGTGTGCTATTAGTAATCTTAACCGTATGTTGGCCAAGGGTTTGTTATCTTTGTCTCATTGTACATTTATGCATCGAAGTGAAGTCCAAACATTTGCGAGAAAGGATAATGGTTATATGCGTTGTTTCTAGGACGGTTACATATGATTCGAATCATACCGAAGACCTGTTACTCCTTCATCTGTTTGAACCAAAATCTGTTGAACATAGTTTATACTTGAAAGTCTGTCATGATTTCATTTCGTTGGCATTCGAAATGCCGCTGCTCGTTTATTCTTCTTCAGAGACGTTTACTGTGACAACTTGCGAGACAAGTGGAAGTGTTTGCTCGCCCCACGCCACTTGCATCACTCAACCCTCTGGAATAGACTGCGTTTGCAACGTGTTCTACATTGCCCGCAAAGGCACAACTCCGGGGACGATTTGTGACTGTGAGTTGTCTCAATGATTTTATTATACCCTGAAGCATCGATAGATAGAAATAGGTTACTTACATTTTTTGTTCTAGTTAAGCGAGGTCGGTGAAGCAAGTACTGCTTATTGGAATGTAATCATATCTCGGACATGATTTACTCCAACGAAAAGTTTAAGCACTGTGCAATTTGTCACATGTAGCACATGTAAACGCTGGATCAAATCACTTTTAAATTTCTGCTTAGGTTTGCTTGCGCCAGTAAAATCACATTGGAAGTCTTAAAATACTAACAATTGCAAATAATAAAGCGAAAATCTTTCGTAATTGTTCTCTGAAATCCAAGAAAACAAAATTATGATAAAGGTTTCAACCCAATCAATTTGTAACTTGCTGTCGACGTGATTCTGTTGTTATTTAGTAGGTCCTTGCATAGTGCATGGAGAATATACTTACATGGGTTGTGGAACACCGGCCGAACCACTAAATTACAAAACGACCGTTCATTTGGAACATATAAACTATTGAGAATAAGGTATTGAACTCTCAATTCTCGGGTGTACTAAATTCCATCTTGCTTGCTCACCGAGCTTAGCAATTTGTTTGCAAACTTTGCTTGGGGTGACATCTTTAGTGCTTGCGAAAGTGGAAGTATTCTGCTTTTACTCGATCGTTTATATATATGTGCTTTTCCACCGACCATTTTTGTCCCTTGTTCTCGCGTTCGACGCGATATGCCCCTGATCTGATGCGAGGGTTTGAGGATGGAGTTGGGGAAGAATTTTTCTCCCATCTTGATTGCAGCTTAGGTCCGTTATCAAACCAAGGCGTGACCTTTTCTTGCATTCCTTGATCCTTGAGTTACCTGTACGCGTGATTCAGTTCGATGAGTGGTCATGCTCTCTGACTGCCGACTGATGTTCACTGATCCGTGTTGACAGTTTTCATCCGATTTGTTCGATGTAGTGTTTTGTGCAGTTTTTGTAGTTAAGTCCTCAGATTACCCCTGTCCTGGCTTTCTCCGTCGTTTTCTCCTTCGATTTTGAAAAAATCTTTGTAGACAGGCGACCGGTTTGTGAGTGATTTGGTTTCCGTATGATCTGAACAGTCTTGTTTTCATTTCCGAAAATCTCTTGATGTACGACAGCGTTATTAATGTTCCTGATTCTCCGTCCATCGTTTTTCCCTTCTTTCGACGAATTTACGGGTGTAGCAATTACAAGAAAATACTCGGCAGATTTCATTCTTCTTTATTCTGAAGCATGTTTGAATTCTTTTGAATAGGGTCCTAACACAGTATCATTAGTGGCTGTATGGATAGTTAATTTTGATGTTTAAGATATGTTTCCTACGAGTCGCTTTGCGATAGACCGTTTTCTCCAGGTTTCCTGATAGCTTCCTGCTGATCAAGGTGTGCTGTTGGTTATCGCTGTCGATGTCTATTGTGCATTTGATGCCATAGAATGTGTTATTGATGATGCTGTGGATTCTTTCTAGCTCCAACTTTTCTAAGATGACGAATCTCACCGAAGTATCGACTCCAAAGTTGTTGCATGATCCTTGACAGCACTTCCGCTAAGCTTCTATATCATCGCTTCGGATTTGAATTCAGAATTTGGTGTTCTCATTGGCGTCCTTTTCAACTGTTCGTGGATTTTTCCCTCGAATTCGAAGTACATCTGCATGCATCGTTCCATGAATTCAACCAGGGTACTTCCAGAGATAATTGACACCATTCAACACCGTCAATCAGACATTGTCTGTCAGCGACTTGTGCGAACTATGAAAGAAGTCCTCTTGCCACCTCGATTGCGCACAATTTAACCAAATAACAGTAAATAAAGGTTGTTACCTTAACTAGTTTCATTACTTTTTCAGCCATTTCGCTAGGTTTGTTAGCTGATTTACATTGACCCTGCCGCGAGATAGTGCGAGAGATTAGGAAAAGAATGATTATACTTTCGCGAGACCAGTGCCCCGGTATTGTCCTTTATGGGTTATCTATCTGACATAAGTAGCACAGTACACACAGAATCCAGTCTCAAAACCCTTACATAGCACTACGCTTTTCCACACAAGCCGTCCAAACGGTACTAATCATTCGTGGACTCTCGCAAGAAAACAAGTAGCTGACATAATACAAACGTCAGAAATGATTACGCGATCAAGGCATCATCACCTGCTCTCAAAGGAGAAGTAAAAGCCTGTCTTTAATATAAATTTTATTCACTTGCATCCATATCCCACTCTCAAACCAGCGATCATGACCTGCGACCGAGGAGAAACAAGCTCTAAACTACAGGTGTATGTCGAGTAGAGAAATGACAAACTAATACCACAGTAAGGTTTTTTCTGATCACCCAATGACCGGAAAAGAACACATGAGTTGTTTGTAAAGAGTTTTCGTTCACGGTGTCCCTGACCACTCATTTCCCATTTGGATTGCAGCGCATAAGTACGCGCAACATCAAACATTTCAAAAGAGAGTTTGACACGCATAAACGCTATCAAAAAAAGCGTGTAACTTCTGACCGCAGTAATCAGAGCAGACAAAAAATGTGCAACCATTTATTTATGACGTGCAACTCTATCTTAATGAAAAGACAAGAACAGTGTTGTTGGTACTTCCTTGTGATAAGATTGTGAATGGAATCCAAAACCACGAAGCTGAACAAGTTTTTGAAACCTAGGTTATTTCAGTCGACTCTCGGGGGAATTGCTCGAAGTCGTCAGTTTCATTTGCTAATTAGTATATTAAGATGCCTTTGTACGTTACCTGGGAGACACGAAACGATTGGACTAATCAACGAAACCCTGGTGCTCAGTTGATGCGGCTCACACGATTGATTGTGTGAAAATCCCACCAAAGCAACTGATATTTCTTCAAGAAAACTCCAAAATATCTCTCAAAACTAACGCAATTGATTTAGAGTATCATGCTTGGATTAGCCCATTACATTATCCATCGCATTTTATTGTATTCACCTCGTGGGAAATCTTCGATCTTCCAAGAAGTGAAACCCATAACCAAGACCGTCAAGGGTGCCTGATGCCTCTGAACAAGCTAAAGGCTAATCCATGCTTGAAACTCCAAACTGATAGAGCAATTTGCACAAGGTAATGACAGCGTAGTTCAGGGGTAAGTGTTTAAAGTCCCAACCCGAACATTCGCGGTTCGAATCCTGTCAGGGACACAAAATGTTCGCTCTACTGACCAGTCCCGAGCAGGACGAAACAACTGTCCAGTGCTCTTTCTAGGTCATCATAAATATTGTCCATCGAATTTAAAGAATTAATTGGTTTGAAGAAGGAAGTGTGGAAGGAAGGGTGGACGTAGATTACAAAAGAGGCATCATAAACTAGTCAGTTTCGAATGATTCACCTGAGGCGAGTTCACATTTGTGCAATAGATGTGGTGCTTTTTCAACAAATCAAGTCCTTCATTACCATTATTCCGTTTTTGCAGTGCACCCGGGAACCATCGCGTTCATTGTGGTCGGAGCACTAATTGTCTTCGGTCTGCTCGCAGTGCTTATTTATTTTGCTACACGAGCCGCTCAAGGACTGCCGTTTTGTCCATGCTCTAACTAGCGGAAAAGCGCGTTCAGTTCAGAACAGTACAAAATGGATCGCATTCCCGGTCGAGGATATTATAATGGACTATTTTGATTTCAACGTATTTATATATGTATGTACATTTTCCTCTACTTCGTACTTTTAACAAACATTCATTCAGTCTTAAGAACTCATCTAACGATACAAAAGAAGAGATCATTGCAAAGCAAATAAAACTGCTATCAACAAAAGTGTTTTTTCTAACAGTGACGAAGAAAATGTGATTCGAAAAAACATTTTACAAACAGAATGATGGTGTTGCAATCGGCTCTCCTGAATCACCGATTGTTTCCAATCTTTTTTGCACTCAACACAATCAAAAGTCCTCATGGCAATTAGGAACCCCCAGTGTCTATAAATCAAATGATGATACTTTGATGATACTTTCGCAGTCTTCAAATCAGATTAAACGAGAGATTTTCCTCACTGTTTGAGCAATCAGTGTAACTCGATAAGATTTACGATGGAAACAGAGAATTCAGAGAGTCATTAACTTTCTAGATTGTCGCATGAAAATCAGTGAATCTCATCCATTTCAAACAACCATTCATAGAAAAACGACCCACTCAGACAATTTTTGAATTTTTATTCTGCACATCCACAATGCATAACACGTTCACTTATCTCGTCACTAGCGAGTGGGGTTGAAAACCTGTGCAACGAAGAGGCAACACATGAAGATGGAATGCGACGCTTAAACCGGGTACTCCAGGACAATAACTACCCACAAAAATTTATACGACGCGAACTTGCCAAACCTAAAACAACCATGGAAAGGAAGGGTTCAACAGACCGGGCTGGCATCCATTGGGATACCCTACATATCGCCGACATCTGAGGTAATCCGAAATATCCTCGGGAATTACAACCTCTGTGTTTTCTTACGAACAGACAGCACTACAACACATGCTGTCCAAAGTCAAAGATCCAATTCAGATGCAGGACCAGAGAAACTGCATTTAAAAGATCAGATGCAGGGATTTTCCAGCAGAATATACTGGACAAACATGTAGACAGCTTAGGGTGAGAATCACCGAACATGAAACAAAAGAAAAATCAAGATCAACTAACGCCACGCAGTTCAACAAACTTGAGAAAGAGATTCGGCAATCACATGACGTGAGGTTGCCGAGGGACACCATTTTGACTATGAAAACATGAAAATTCTCCAACGAGGTTTTCAAACAAACACCGAGTGCCTACACGCCGACGCTTTGACAATTAGTGCCCATCCTGGGTGTATAAACCGAAACGACGGGGCAGGGGTTTCGAGCATCTGGACGGCGTTAACGTCACTAGCCAGCACTCGTCATAACGCTGAGTTGACCTCAGATAACCCCAATCACACAGACTAAGATAGCATAAGTGGATGTGCCCAACGCCCTATCCGGATCGGTGACGTTCACACAGACACGAACACAGACCTACATACAAATACACACACATACACACAGTGCGTGAAAAGTTGACAAACTGTTCCCGATTCATTCGATTGTGAAATCGCCTTGATAAAGGTTACCCACGCTAACCGAAACGACGGCTTATGTCCCCCTGTACCAATATCGCTATCTTTTCACAATTACAACTTATATAAAAATGTGATTCTCGTCAATATTCAGTCATTTGACTGGTGGAAAATAAAGATAAATGTGCGGATTCTGTGTTCAAGAATGTCGATACTTGTGAACATCAAGTGGGATTAGACCACAATAAAAAAGATAAAATGAGACGAGAATCAGGTCAAGCATGACACTAACCCATTTGTGAACACAATTAGATAAAATGGGTGCACTGTGGTGATACAGTACTTGATCGATCATCAACCATATTAACTCAACTGAAAGCCAAATGTTACGAGTATGTATACGTGTATGGTTGAGCGGGTAAATAAAACGAGTTGGGTTGTTATTTTTCATAAGTTAACCGGCACAATACGAAGCAAAGCATATCGAATTTTAAATTCTACTGACGGGTGATGAGGCTGGATGCGCAGTCGTTAGATAGGATAAAATGACAGACGAACCATAACCATCAGATCGTTTCATTGTAAGGCCCGAGTACAATTCACTAAAAGTGGAAAACTCAGATCGGGAACATTTGTTTTTATAGTCGTCATACTGTTAAAATTAACATATTATAGAAATCGATGAACCCACTGCTCGTGGATAACTGCTGAACTGAAAGCAATTTTGTGTGAAAATTGAGCTCGAAAACGTCATGTATTAGATTCACCACAACACAAACTGGGAAAGATCAAATGAACATCTGAACAGACACAAGGGTATATTCTCATCAAAACCTGACAGAAAACGTTGATGAATGATTCAACATTTCATGAGAGTTTAGCTAAAATGTCAATGCACTGAAATTTAGTTCTGTGAGTAAAGTCAATTGTTGAACCGCGGGGTCTCCATTGTGTAACTGAAGCCACTATGTCAGATGTGGAATCAACTGTTTCGCCATTGATGACAGTGGAAAAGTTACTCAGGAATATTAATCTTCACCCCAATTTAACAAACGTTTGCTAGATTCTGCCGCGGTAGCAGCGAATGAAGCATTCAATGTAGGACCAAACATGGTAGAGAAAGGTCTGTTAAATGTGATTTCGGGCTATGACCCCAGGTAATGGGTGATAGGTAATAGGTAACTATATAGTATGTTGTTCATCGACGACAAGCCAAAGGTTATTGTGGCAGATATGTATCATTAGAACGCTTTATCTGGCACATATATGGGGTCTCAGTTCGGAAACGCTGGCGGGTTTACAAGGATAACCTATCATTCAGCGGCACCCATGCAAAGAACAGGAAACAGTAAGAATGATTTGTAATACTTCCACTGTATTTAACACCCTATTCGTATTTGAGATCAATATTTTGTTTTTTATATTTATATTTGTATAACTTCTGCAAGCCGAAATATGCTTACATTTCAGTTACAAATTGTACACTGATCGTCATACCGGAGAAAATAAACAAGTGTAAACAAATCTCCGAAGCCTGATTCATTCAATTAAAGATTAACCTAATTCATTTATAACTCGTTCCTTGTTGGTAAAGTTTCGAGCCAGATACGGTACAGTCTAGCTTTTATAAATGTTTATTCAAGAGGATAGATAGCGATAAGAAGAACGAGTGATCGAGTGGGAGCGGCAAGGAGATAAATCAAAATGTTAGGGATAGGAGGGTTTGTTTAGAATATTATTGACAAAGGTCACACAAGACTTCATAGGACCATTTATAAGTTCTGTGATTAATGACTCGACAGAAATTAAAGATACACGGCTTATTATCATCACACCAAGACGGATAGTTTTAAAGTCTTGTTTCCATAGACCGGAAAACAGTACAGGAGAGCAGTAAAGTAATATAGGGAGAACGCATTGTTCAACAAAGGAAAACAAAACTTGTTGGGGAGTACGAAATTGCTTGAGATTCCGAAGCTGAAAGGAGAGGCGCCGAATTTTTCCCACACAGTTCTAAATTTGTGTGAACCA